CTCTCTTTCTCTCTCTCTTCTCCTCTCTCTCTCTCTCTTTCTTGCTTTCTTTCTTTCTTTCTTTCTTTCTTTCTGTCTCTCTCTCTCTCTCTCTCTTCCTCTTCTCTCCACGAACTTTCACGAAACGCGACAGTCTCGCACAAAATGAGGGTCAAAAATTGTTGTAAAATTGCGATTTTGACGGGCTGCGCACAACCCTTTCAGCACGAAATGAAGGACGATCGCCAAAAACTGTAACATTGCGATTTTGACGGGCCGCGCGCAACCCTTTCGAACGAAATGATGGACGAGCGTCAAAAAACTGATGTAAAATTGCGATTTTGACGAGCCGCACGCACCCCTTTCGCACGAAATGAGGGTCGATCGTCAAAACCTGATGTAAAATTGCGATTTTGACGGGCCACGCGCAACCCTTTCGCACGAAATGAGGTCAATCGTCAAAAATTGCTGTAAAATTGCCGGCACAACTCTTTTGCAAGAAATGAAGGTCGATCGTCAAAAGCGGAGACAAAAATTGATAAAAATTGCAATTTTGATGGTACACATGTGAGCGTCTGTGTGTAAAGGAGCGTGTGCTCAAGCGTCTGTGTGTAAAAGCGTCTGTATGTAAAAGCGTTTGTGTGTAAAAGAGTCTTTGTGTAAAAGCGTCTGTGTGCAAAAGCGTTTGTGTGCAAAAGCGTCTGTTTGTAAAAGCGTCTGTGTGTAAAAGCGTCTGTGTGCAAAAGTGTTTGTGTGCAAATCTGTGTGTAAAAGTGTCTGTGTGTAAAGGAGTCTGTGTGTAAAAGCGTCTGTGTGTAAAAGCGTCTGTGTGTAAAAGCGTTTGTGTGTAAAAGCGTCTGTGTGTAAAAGCATCTCTGTGTAAACTTGCGAGTGAGTTTTAGGGATTAATTCTATGAAGGTGCAAGCTTGGTAATTCCTGTAGGTGGTTTCAATATCGCTGTTCATTTGCAAAGATATTTATTCTAATTCCTGAGATGTCTTTAAGCTCGCTCTGAACCTGAAGAGCGTGGCAGACTCCTTTAGGAGGTCTCCATGCCCCACATGCAACCTTTCTTGTTGGTGGCGAGCCAGAAACGTCAGCGAGGCCCCAATAAAGCCATGAAAGCGTTCATTCAAAACCCTAAATTGAAGTCACCATTTGAGTCTGAATGCTATAGTAAAAGTCGTTCATTGTTTTTGGGAATTACGTTGGCCCTGTCAGTTGACAAGCACGCTAGCAGCACCAACCTTGACAAGCATGCTAGCAGCGCCAACCAAAGGTGCATATACCCCGGCAATCCAACATGATATACTTAATATACTAGATGTATCTGGATCGTTTCCTAGATCGTTTCCAGCATTTCGACTTCTTTTGTTTCTCCTATTTGTAGGACAATATTCCATAAACATGTCCGAGAACCGAGCCAGCCACGTCTCGTAGGGTGAATGGTGGCACTATCCTGCCTTAGCACTTAGCAGTGTTCTTGTTGTGATCAAAACCAATGACTGATATTGACATGAACCCCACTTCCTGTGAACACTGGCAGGCCCCTGCCCATTGTTTTGGCAATTTGCTGCACTGGGTGGGCATTACGATGGAATGAATTGGGCACATCCACCGGGGGTTGATATCGAAACCGTGAGGGTCTGCATGGGGGTTATAGCTACTCAACTACCATGTGTAATACACATTATCATACAGCAGTTGTGAAGAAACTTATGCTGCTTTCAAAGTCTTTCAAACATCTGGATGATTTGAAACATCTTTGAAACTATAACGACCTCACTGCGACGTCACCTGGAATAAAGGTTATAGACTGCGGGGAATCATCCCCAAATGACCTTAAGTTTCCGCTTGGTGGATTCATAGTTTTACTTATTTGGCACTGCGCCAGGGAAAAGCGTCTTTGTGCAAAAGCGTCTGTGTGTAAAGGTGTCTGTGTGTAAAAGCGTCTTTGTGTAAAAGCGGCTGTGTATAAAGGCTTCTGTGTGTAAAGCGTCTGTATGTAAAAGCGTTTGTGTGTAAAAGAGTCTGTGTGTAAAAGCGTCTGTGTGTAAAAGCGTTTGTGTGTAAAAGCGTCTGTTTGTAAAAGCGTCTGTGTGTAAAAGCGTCTGTGTGCAAAAGTGTTTGTGTGCAAATCTGTGTGTGAAAGTGTCTGTGTGTAAAGGTGTCTGTGTGTAAAAGCGTCTGTGTGTAAAACTTTCTTTGTGTAAAAGCGTTTGTGTGTAAAAGCGTCTGTGTGTAAAAGTGTTTGTGTGTAAACGCGTCCGTGTAACAGCGTCATGTGTGTAAAAGCATCTGTGTGTAAAAGCGTCTGCGTGTGAAAAGGATGTAAAGTAGTTGCGTGTAAAGGTGTCTGATGTCCTGAAGCCTTTTTCTTGACATGGTATCCTTTTCTTCTCATATGAATTCCATACATCCTTTATGTTGTCTGGTAATATCTTGTCTTGATACTATTCTTCTCGCCTGCATATGATACATCTTAATACATCTTCTTATATTGTCTTGTAAAAGTATTGTCTTGATATTAACGCTAGAAGAAACTGATCCTCTATGCTCTCGGGCCATCGGTCGTGTAGTATATATATATATGTATATATACATATATTTATATGTGTATATATATATATATGCATTTGTGTATATATATATATATATAAATAAATATGTATGTATACATATGCAAAGTAAATATATGCACACTACATATATATACATATATATATATATATATATACATACACATACACACTCTTTATTTATATATACCCTCTATATATACACTTAATATATGCACACACTATACATATATACACTATGTATTTATATATAGACACTAAAAAAACAAATATGTATACACAATAAATAAATATATATATATATCTATCTATATGCCTAGATTTGTGGATTTGTTTTGCTTGGTTGTACCCCCTGCTGCCGCTTATCAGTATCACATCAAGCTCCCCAGTGTTGGTGGTCATTGTATGTGGTCGACACCCGTCACTGGACATGGCCATTGCTGGCCCTGGAGGGGACCATTGTAAGAAACCCTCCTGAATAAGTCCGCTAATGAGATTGTCTATATAACTTTGTCATTTTGTTATGTAATCACGCTTACTTAAGTTGCTACTACCAAGTAGTACCCCCAAAAAACTGTTGGTTCATAAACCCATAGTTCTCATAGTGGTAATATGTTGTAATCACCAAATTGATCAGTTTTTTCTCTTAAAATTCGTCCAGATATTGAAGCCCTAATGAATGGAGATGATCCCCCCGTAGTCTTCTCCCCATCTTGGAGGATCACCCCACGAATGACATAAACCCAGTGTTCACTTACGATCAGGCTTATTGACCACTTAGCCTCTGGTGGCCATCTTTCAGATAACTAATCGTATGTGTGATTACTAATCGTAAAAGTATCAGTATCGCTGAACCCCAGGCTTCTCTTTCACTTAACTATAATGATGAACATCCTAAGAGTGGAACATCATCATTTTAAATTGCGGTAGCATATGGTAGAATCATCTACAAATGGGCCATGGTTTCCATAGTATCTCGGCAGGGCGAGTGGACTTTGCGACCAAGGTGCGAAGGATTGGCCGGTGTCATCAAATGTGACAATTGTCAATGTTCCCCCAACTAAAATGGAGGTAACAAAATGTAGCAAAAACATCGAACTAAATGGAGGATTTTCCAGCACACCATGTTTGATTACCAGAGGATACACACTGTATTTATCAGGAAACACACAATGCCATGGCAAACCCACGATTTGGGAAAGGCTAAATCAACTACAAACAGGGGATCTTCAATTACTGAGTGTTTGTTGACCATCGCTTTTTCGGAAAAAAACAAGCAGTCAAATCGTTTTAACAGTTGGATTGCAGCATGGTTTCTTTCAAGCATTTCCCCTTGGAGCACTTTGGATTCCAATGGATTATGACCACTTTCCGTATTAAATTACCCTCTGGTAATTTAACATAGCTATTGAAAATGGCCATTTATAGTGAGTTTTCCCATTAAATATGGTGTTTTTTTCCTAGCTATGTTAGTTTACCAGAGGGTATCTAAAGTGGGACTACACCTTTTTCCGACAAACCCATTTTTGTCAACCTCGCCCAGGGTGATTTGAGTTCCACCCCTGCCAACAAGTGTTAACAGGGCTTATAAGGTTCCTATAAGCAGTGTCAAATCCATATAATCCTGGAATATATATTAGGGGTGCTATCCTGATTCTTGGGGATATAAGTCAGTGTGTTCTATTTGATGATCATCTACATCCATACTGTTCCGAGAAAAAGGACAATGATGATATCAATATCAATGACTATGATCATGATGGGAAAAGCGCATTACATACACATCATATATACTGTAAATATATACGCCTACATATTATATATATATATATATTATCTACATTATCACATATATATATATTATCTATATGATATCTATCTACCGTACATTCCGCTAATCGATATGCCGTAAGATCAGCATCAATTCCTTGAGCCCTGAGGCTGTGGAATGGACACCCTGGGGGTCTCAGATGGATGAGCGAGGAAGGCGCAGCAGGGTTCAGCACCACCGTAGTGAAGTGCTGGGTATATTCGGGGGTGATTCACTATGCTATAACTATAGTATGTATATATAAATATATGTATATATACACATATATATATATATGTATGCATGCATGCATGTTATGTTCTATTCTATTATATTATATTATATTAAATTAAATTAGATTAAATTAAATTATATTATATTGTATTATTTTATTTTATGTTCTATTATGTTTTATTACATTGAACCAGTCTATTATATTACATTATATTAAATTATATTACATTATATTACATTATATTACAAAAAATTAAATATTATATCATATGCTATTATATTTTACTCTACTACATTATTTAATATTAGATTTTTCTATATTGTATTATATTACATCTTATTTTTGAAAAAATCATAGTATATTTTATCTTACTATATTATACTTTAGTTTTTAAAAATAGAATATATAGTATAATATTATAAAATAATATAATTTAATATGGTATATATTTTAAAATAATATAATATACGATAATATAGTAAAGCATAACTTAATAAAACATACAATTTAATAATATAATATAATATGGTATAATTTAACATTGTATTTTATTTTATTCTATTTTATTATAGCATATTATATTGTATTAAATGGTTTTTATATTTTTTTTAATTAAATTACATTCTATGTTTTATTGTATATTATATTTATTTTATATGATTTTATATGATATTAACTTATTATATTGTATTATATTAAATTATATTATATTAAATCATATTATATTATATTATATTCTATTATTTATATTGTATTATATTGTGTTATATTATATTGTATTATATTATTGTATTATATTAAATTATTTGATTATATTTAATATCATCTTATTATATTATATTAAATTCTATTATCTTATACTATAACCGAAGGAAGTTTGGAAGTCAAACTTCCGACAATATGGACAGATGGAAAAGCAGAGGTGGGAAGACTCATAGAGAAGGAGAAGAGAGAAGATCAGAGAAGAGAAAGACTGACAAGACAGAAGATGCAGGTGCGCGAAAAGGTAGGAAAGTTGCGATTCTATGCGTTTTTCCAATAATTTGTGGCTCCGGAGGGTCGAAAAGTAGGATCGCTAATGCGGCGGGTGCGGAGCCGACCACTTTTGGAAGTTGAGATGTCGAAAAAGTGCACGCCGTTGTGGCGCGAAGCACATTTCGAAGTCAAAAGTGTTAAAAAATGACGGTCTCGGACCACTTTTGGAAGTTGAGATGTCGAAAAAGTGCACGCCGTTGTGGCGCGAGGCACATTTCGAAGTCAAAATGTACAAAGCACACCACGTTCAGAGCACGTTTGGAAGTTGAGATGTTGAAAAAGTACACGCCGTTGTGGCGCGAAGCACATTTCGAAGTCAAAATGTACAAAGCACACCACGTTCAGATAACTTTTGGAAGTTGAGATGTTGAAAAAGTGCACGCTGTTGTGGCGCGAAGCACATTTCGAAGTCAACATGTACAAAACACTGCATGTTTGGACCACTTTTGGAAGTTGAGATGTTGAAAAATTGCACACCGTTGTGGCGCGAAGCGCATTTCCAATTCAAAAGTGTAAAAGCACTGACAGGTTCGGAGCACTTTTGGACCAGATGTCGTTTTGTGTGGCAGGCGCAAGGGATTGGGCACCTTGCCCAAAGTGAGCAAAACGTGCAGGCTTTGTAGCAGTTTCAACTACAACTACCACTACACTACACTACATTACACTACAACTACAACTACAACTACACTACATTACACTACACTACAGTAATTACACTGCACTACACTGCATTACACTACACTCCACTCCACTTCTCTTCACTACACTCAATTACATTACGTTACACCACGACTACAACTACAACTACATTACACTACGCTACACTACACGAATTACATTACACTACGCTAATTACATTACACTACGCTACGCTACACTACAACTGCAACTGCAACTACAACTACAACTAGAGTACACACACACACACACGCTACACTAATTACATTACACTACACTACACTACGCTACGCTACACTACACTACACTCCACTACGCTACACTGCACTGCACTGCACTGCGCTACGCTACGCTACCCTACACTACAACTACAACTGCAACTGCAACTGCAACTGCTCCACACCTCACCACACCACAGTACACTAACTACAACTACAGCTGCAACTACAACTACGCCGCACCACACTACACTACACTAACTACAACTACAACTACAACTACGCTACTTTACACTACACTGCACTAGGCTACACTACACTTTTCTACATTACATTACACTACATTCATTAGACCACCACATGTGCAACTGCAACTACACTTCAGTAATTACACTACACCATAACTACAACTCCACTACACTACAACTACAACTACAGCTGCGGTACATCACTCTACATCCAGCAGTAGTGGGTAACCACTGTAACCAGTGTAACCACTCCGAAAAACACAGCTCCAACCACCTTTCCGTCCATCAGTGGATTCGCTCTGCCATCCGTGATTCACAACAACCAACCTCTCCTCTAGGTTTCCTATTTTTGAAACTTCCGCCACCGCCTTGTGCGGCACTACAGGTACTCATGAGGTTTACAAAGCGACCAACATATTTTTTTGGTTTCTGGGACAGTGTGAAGAGCCAACCAGTTTATGGTGATTTAAGAATCAAAGTTGTGGTTTATGGGGAATATAATGAATTAGTACTCATGGGGTTTATACAAGTTTTTTTGTTGATATTTCATTTTTGTTTAAATGGGGATATAGTGGTATATACTCATATATATATATTGTATATGATGTATATGGTTTCTGTGCAGTATACATCTATGAGATTATCCATTCAAGGCAGCAAGAAAATGGTGGTTGAAACATCAAACAAATTGGGATTTAAACAACTGCAAAAGGCAAAATGGCGGAGTGAACAGTCACCAAAATGGAGACTACACCATCAAACGGAGGGATTTCGCCAATGAACAGATTTGGGATCTATTGTCATTCGTCCTCATTGTTCCCCGATGTTTTTTCCAATTCTATTTTTTTTTATTTTTTGTGAACATCCTGAATTCATAGATCATTTCCCTGGAATCCATGGAGTTTCCATCTCAAACCATGGAATTTTCCACAATTTTTTCAATTGTTTTTCAGGGTTTTTCCCATATTTTCCATATTTTCCATGGTTTTTTCCATGGAATTTCCATCTCAAACCATGGAGTTTCCATGGTTTTTTCCCACGGTTTTTCTTCCATCGGCCGCATCAGAGGGTTCAGCAGCCAGGCGTTGGGCTCGCGTGGGCATGGACGCCTCCAGTTGCACCAAGGGGCCACAGCAGCTGGTGGCCTTACTGCCAGGTCGTTGGATCATGGGAACATCCTCCAGACGGAAAATCATAGGGAAAACTATGGGAAAAACCATGATTCATGAGGTTCATATATATATATATAAATGTTTTATGTTTATATGAACTATGGGAAATCATGAAACTAGAAACTATAGGAAAAATAGTGAACGCACTATAAATGGAGGTTTATTGCTGGAAAAATCATTGAACTAAATGGTGGATTTCGCAGCAAACCAAGTTTGCTGACCGGAAGCTAATAGGAAAATCATCCATACATGGGAGATTTTTCAGCCATGTGACTGATTACCAGAACTGTGTGATAAAAGGAATATTTCACGCAGATTTTTTCGGTATAACCAACAAATACCAACAATATGGGATTTGTGATGGGATTTGTGATTGATATATATATCCCATTATGCAATCTAGCTGAGTGATGATATGCTTGGTAGTCACTGGGATGTACATCCAAGGGGCCTCCAGATCACAGGAATTTGCGGCGAGAATCACCTCTTCATAGATGATGATAATTGATGATATAGATATATGGAGGTTTCCATAGTCATGGCAGTCATGGGGGTACTCCCAAATCATCCATGTTCAATAGGGATTTTCCAGTGTAAACCATCCAGCTATTGTTGGGTCCCCCATTTATGGAACCCCCCATATTCCATATTTTCATTAGAACAAAAGTTGGGATTGCCACTGTTGCCGCATCGAATGTTCAGAGGGTAAACCTTGAAAAGGCACATATGGGATTTGACCAAGAAAGTATAGGGGTAAAACCAACTAGTGAAAGGTGCTCCAATAGTGCTATAATGGGTATGTATATCTAAAATAGCATAAAATATAGTATACATACGGTATACACACAACCAACAGTTTTTTTTTTTTGGTATCAAAGACGGGCGATGTTAAAGACACATCTGGGCAATTTAGGGTGAACCAGCCATGGTTATCGACCAACCCCCAACATGATGGACACGACCGATGGACAAAATACTGGGAAACGAAGAGAAATCTCACAACTTTACATCAGGTCTGGGATGTAGAGTATTACACATAATATAAGTACATATATATATATATTACATGTACCTTAGATCTGGGCTCCATGAAATATCAACCATATTATGATATAATCATGTATGATCCAGGTGAGTAGTGGATATTTCATGGTGAAATCCCCCCACCAGTTGTCCATTGAGTCCAGTGGTTGGGGAAAAGAACGGTTGCGGGACTCGGCTTCCCCTTGGATTGTGATCATCTACCCTCTGGTGAACTAACATAGCAATGGAAAATGGCTATTTATAGTGGATTTTCCCATTAAGAATGGTGATTTTCCATTGCTATGTTAGTTCACCAGAGGGTATATGATTTTATAGCTGATTCACTAACCTGAAAAGTCCGGCCCAAAATGGTGATGCCTCAGAAATACTGACCATCAGTGCATACCCTCTGGTAAACTAACATAGCGAACTGGAAAGATCCACCATGCTATTAATGGGTAAATACACTATTTCGACTGGGCCATTTTCAATAGCTATGTAACACATTACCAGAGGGTAATCTCCAATATATTGGCCAGTAAAATCCCCAAAGATCCCCAAACTAATCATCAATCAACAGGCGTCAACTGATTCCTAATCAGTTGATTCCTTCCGTCAGAGATGTCCCCATAGCGTTGGTGACATGTCAGTTAAGTCGATCAAAAAATCATCGCCAAAATATCATGTCATGACATATCCCAAAATGGTAATTTTCATGATATGGCGGTTCCATTTGACTAAAAAATAGTGAAATAGTCTTAAATACTTACTTGTGCTAAACGTAGGGAATGGCTAACTATCAATAATAATTCCAGCAACCAAATATATATATATATATGCAATAATTTGGAAAGCCATCATTTTTTAAAGACTCCCAGCAACTATCAATAATTCCAGCAATATTTTCCACATTGCCATCCATTCCCTACGTAAAACGCAAGTCCTTGGAGGGGGGGTCGTCAACTGGATGGTGATTCCGACGGAGTAATTTCAGCTGGTGAAACTGGGGGAGCTTGGGAAAATGGTGGTGAAAAACGTGAAAAACCATCAACAATGGGATTTAAAGGATCCCCAAATCATATATATATATGGTTGATCGTGTACGATATTTATACACGAACGCTGCATGCCCCGATACGCAGTTTTTCGGCTCACAGGGAAGTGCTTGAGCCTCCCCGGCCTGGCTCCTCGTTGGATCACCCAGACCCTACGGGGGAGGTCCCAGCAAGAAGCCAGCCGGGAGAGGAAGACAGCAGAGCCCAGGCCGCAGGTAGGGCTAGCGCTGTCAAAGGCCCCTCCTTTTGAAGGGGACCTGCTTGGCTGTGCGATGCTGGGCCTTGAACGGCTTGGGGCCGACCTAGGTCTTACGGCCGAAGAGGTGGAGCAAGCGCTGTCTTTAGGTAGGCCTACTCAGGACCTTGCCTGGTACGAGGGCAGAGACCTCCGTGGTCGGGCCCAAAAGGCAGCGCAGGAACTTTTTGAAACGGAGAGGATCTTAGAGTACCAGTGTTACGACGCTGATTGGCATGCTCAGGGTCGAGGGGTGATAGCCCTTCAAGACTGGGCAGACAGAGACCAATGCCTTTTTCTGGGGCTTCACGGCCCTGCCTCTGACAAGGACTACCAATACTTCGTGGCTAAGGAGATGGGAAGTTCGAATGGGATTTATCACATCTGTGATTGTGACGCATCGCGCTGCAAAGTGCGAAACACCAGAGGTGACAGGTGAGAACTCATCCATATAGACAAATGGAGGTTGCAGACCCCCCTGACTATGGTCGAGAGCCCTTACCTGACTGGACTGGGCGTGCAACTTGGTGAAAAGACTCTTAGTCAGGCGGCCCGTGAAAAGAAAGCCCGGGGGGCTCCTTTGAGAAGTGGGCTCGACCAGGTGGCTTTGGAAGGAGCAGACCCAGGAGAGGGAGCTCCGGAGATTGGAAGGAGGAGCACCCCGAGGGGGCCGGAGAAGGAGAGGAGCAGGTCGCCGTTGAAGGGTGAAAGCTCCAGGGCCCGCTATTTGACGCGGCGGGGGGAAAAACAAGGAGAGAAGCAGATGACTGAGAAGAAAAAGAAGAAAGAAAGTGTTGAGAAGAAGGAGGAGAAACAAAAGAAAGAGAGCTCTAGCTCCTCCTCGGAGAAGAGTGAGTCCTCATCGGACCAGGCTTGCTCTCGACGAGATGATTCGCCCCTTAGCCGAGCGGAGGGGGGAAGTCGACGTCGGGATGAGGTGGCTGAGTCGGAAGAGCCTTGCCTGTCTGAGCCAGATTTTAATCGAGACCCGTCCTCGAGCCAAGAGAGGTCGGCGGACTCTTCGGTAGCTCCAGACACTGTCAGTGAGCATCGATCACCTCTGGTCAGGACAGGTGGCAAAAGCGGCCAGCACGCTGGTCCAGTGTCGGAAAGCTTGCGAAATGTCGCGGGTGGATGGACACTGGGCTATGGCACGCCCTTCAGGGATCGTACCTCCCAGCACCGCTGCCCTAGTCAAATCCGAGGAGATGGAGCTGGCCGCCAAGCCAGAGCTTCGAACCCTCAAGCTGAAGGAGTCCTTGACGATGATTACAAAAGAGGGAGGAGGCAGCGGGCCAGACCCCGGGGGGGGGAGGCCCGGGAGTCACTCCCCGACAATGTCCCCAATGAGAAGCCTCCAGCGAGGCAAAGAAGTGGAAAAGGAAAAGGGGGCCCTGAAAGTGGCTCACGTGAGGTTCGACGAAAAGAAAGTCGTGCTGCAAATGAAAGAAGCGCTAGCTCGGAAGCCGGCGTTTTGCAGTCCAGAAAGAGGAAAAGCAGGAGCCCGGCGCGCCCAGCAAGAAGCAGGGCTGTTAAACAGAAAACAGAGGAGACCCGCCGGTATGAGGCGGAAGAGGAACAGAGCAGGTCGAACAGACCCCTTGTGGGAAGTTCGGGGGACCAACAGAGAGAGAGCGTCCACGCCACAAAACAGGCGAGAGAAGCTGAAGTAGGGTCCAGAAAGGTGATGGAACTGGTGGAGTGGTTGGCCGATCATGGAGGAGAACATTTGACAGCTGCACAGATGGCCCAATACCTCATTCTTCAGGCAGTGAACCTGAATGGCACTCTGGGAAAGTTATTGGAGAGCTCATTGAAACCCATCTGGTGGCAGGGCGAAAGAGTGAGGAACCTGATGCCCTTGCCGCTTTGGCCTGATGTGCGAGATGCCCTGGAAGTGGTCATTGAAAAGCAGAGGTACAAGGATCAGCCTGGTGAATGGCGGGAGCGAGGAAATACAAAGACACAGGCCTCCAGAGCGTTGCGTACGCAGGGGGCCCTGCTGTGGCATGGGCTTGTGGTGGTGAGCCTGAACTGGCTCCACAGTGGAGGAAACATAGCAGACAGCATTGGTGGCCCTGCTGGAAGGGCCACGTCACAACAAGAGGAAGCCCTGTGCAGGATCTGGGAGTTGGTGAAGGTGTTCATTGATGAGAAACCCAAAAGAGGGGGAGTGCCCAGGACTCCACAAGGAGATTGGGCAGTGAAACTGGAGGCCCTGCGTGTCTCCTGCACGGGGGAAGTGGTGCATAAGGCACGGCCCTTGACCCTGGAGCAAATACTCCCAGGGCTGCCCTCCGAGCAGCACGGAGGCCTGGTAGATATTTTGGAGGTGGTGGATGAGAAACTGAAAAAGAGGTTGCAAAGGCCAGACCAAATGTTGCGGGAGGCCTTCGGGGACATACCCACACCACAGGTGATGTGCTCCGATGAGGAGTGGGAGAAGGTGGTGAAAGCCTTGTATGACCGACATCTGGTCACCCCCGTTGAACGACATCCAGTGGTGGATGGGAAGTCCGTCCTAAACGGGACGTTCGGTGTTATCAAGCCAGATGAACTCACCGGGGGAGGCTTGCCTGTGCTTAAGATGGTCTTGGATCTCAGAGCCAGTAATACAATCTTGGAGCAGCTGGAAGGGGATTGCAAGACTTTGTCAGGAGCGGCATCCTTTCAGAGGATCGTCATGGAGGAGGGAGAAGATCTCCTACTGTCAGGCGATGGCTTGCAGGCGATGGCTTGAACGCTACGTTCTACTTGTTCCGCCTGCCCATACAGTTTGCTGAATACCTTGTGTTGAGGAAGCCTGTTAGAAAGGCGTTGTTTCAGCCTGGCCAAGAAGGAACCACGTTGGTGGGCATCACTGTCCTTCCTATGGGATGGTCCAGCGCAGTTGCAGTAATGCAGAGCGCTCACAGGCAATTGGCTCTCCGCTCTGAGCTCAGGATGGGAGCCGGCCTGATGGAAAAGGCGGAGATCAGGAGGGACGCTGTTTTCCCTGGGTTGGAAGAGACCCCAGCGTGGGCCACTTACGTGGACGACAATGCCATCATTGAGCAGGTTGCCCGAGGCGTAAGTGCAGCCTTAGAGGGACGGCCCGCGGAGGAACAAACCAGGCTCAGAAAGGTGTATGAATGGTGGGGCATCCCGACGAACGCCAGCATGACGCTGGAACGAGTACGCTCGGCAGAGCGGTTGGGGGCCTTGATTGATGGTGAGAGAGGACTGCTGAGAGTTACGACAAAGCAGTGTTTAGACTTGATGGGCCTTGGGTCATGGAGTTTCCCGGCCACAGCCCTGCAGATCTATGCTGGCAAAGCAGTGCACATTTTGCAGTTCAGGCGATGCCTGTTCTCCATCTTACAGGAGGTATTTGTGGAAGTGTCACAGCACCCAGTGGAGGTGAGTGGCACTGTGCCCCTGTTTGAGGAGATGATGCTGCTGGAGTGCCTGTTGCCGGTAGTCTGTACTGACCTGAAGGCCCAGATTGACCCTGTTGCTACTGCCAGCGGTGCAAGTGAGAGCGGGGGGGGAGCATCCTACGCGTCACGTCTAAGCCGCTTGGGAGTTGAGGAGCTGGAAAGGCTGATGAAGGAGGATTTCCCAGAAGGACATGCCCTGTCTGATGATTTCAGGGATACGGCTCAGAAGATAGTGGTGATTGACCTCTTTTCTGGTATTGGCGGCCTTGAGAGGGCCTTGCACCATGCCAGGCTGAAGCCTTGGTTTGTGGTAGCCGTGGAGTCAGACCCTGACTGTCGGCGATGCCTACGGCGCCGGTTCCCTGGTGTGGAGCTTTGCTCAGACATCAGAAAGATCAACAAGAGGATGGTCCAGGATTGGCTGAGAAAGATTCCCGCTGCGAATGGGGTCATTTGTGGAGGAGGCAGCCCTTAGGGTTGTCCCAGCTGCCAGCGGGCAGGGCTCACCTGGAGGACCCGCGAAGTGCCCTGTTCTATGAAGCGGTGAGGGTCATGGACCTGGTGAAGGAGGTGGCCGATGCTGAAGGAATGTGGAACATACGGTTCCTCGAGAATGCAGTGCCAGACGAAGAAGAGATACGCACCATGTCTTGGGCTTTAGCCATGAAGCCCCTGCTGGTGGACTCCCGGCATTTGTCGAGGGCAAGGAGACCCCGATTATTCTGGGTGTCTGTGCCCCTTGTGAATTATGAAGAGGTGGAAGTGCACCAAGGAGATCTCTTTGATGAAGTGATCTATGGAGCGGCTACAGAGCCCATGCACACGATCCTGACTGCAGGCTGGGAGTGGAGGCCTGGGCAGCGTGACTCAGGCCTGCGCTTCCCTACGTTCACAAGGGCCAATGCCCGAGAAAGGCCCCCCAAGGAGCCAGCAGGGCTCTCAGTCACATCGGAGGGGGCAAAAACCCGCTGGGAAGCCGACCTGCACAGGTTTGCACCATACACGTACAATGCTGAATACATGGTCCAGAATGAGGAGGGGCTGGTGCGCCCTTTGCTAGCCGCTGAACGGGAGCTGCTGATGGGGTTCGAAAGGAACCATACTCTTGACCTAGCCAGCAAGGTTCCAGAGTCTTCTGAAGACAAGGAACTCCTGGAGGACAAGCGATGCAGCGCCATTGGAAATACTTTCCATTGCACCTTGGTAGGAGCCCTCCTAGACCATGTCCTGTGGTCTTTTGGAGTGAAACAGTTAGTGGGCCACCACGAGATTGTGGAAAGCTGGAGCCAAGAACTAAAACGGACCCACCGGTTGCCACAAGGAGATTTGAATATCAACGAGGATCAGACCCCTGTGGGGGAAGATCCGGGATATGAAAGTGGAGTCACTGAAAAGAGGAGTCACCAAATGGAAACGTTGCAGGTACCCCGCAGCCCCTCTTCTGCCACCGCCATTGCGGGGGTATCAGAGAGAGATCTCAACCTCTCAGTTGCCATGGTGCAGGCGTTTGTAAAGCGCCAAGAATACCGAGGCAGTGATGTACGATTGGATGGGGGAACTTTGTATCGCCCAGATGCTTTCCCAAGGGCCACGGTGAACCCACACCGCTGGAGATGGCACGAGGCGCACTCCTACCCCTTTCCAGATCCAGAGCACATCAACCTTCTGACACTCCGGGCGCTTATCAATACTGTGGAATGGAGGCTGCAAAGGATGAAATTTCAAGGGGTCAGGTTCTTGCATTTGTGTGACTCTGAGGTGGTTTTAGGTCTATGCATGAAAGGACGGAGTTGCAACCGTCAGCTCAACCAACTGCTCCGGCGTCTGGGGGCCATGTCAGTTGCAGCAGGCCTTTACCCGGTGTTGGCGTGGATCGAAAGCCACCTCAACCCGGCAGGCGCACCGTCCAGACGGTATGAGCCGTAGGACGCCAAAGGGGCTGGATGCCCTCCAGAAAGGAGTTGGGGGTTTTTCTGGTATTCTGCACATTTCAGAATTGTTTCTGCTGGAATGTAAGGAAGTCCTCTTGCCAGCTGACGGCAGACCTCAGGAAGCCGTTTTATTGCTGAGAATTACCAAGGGTACAATGAAAAACCTCTTGCCCTTGGACAAGGTGGTTCTCCAAGAGAAACTCGCCATCCAAGCACTCATACCGTTGTGCATGGAATAGCAACAAGAGGCTTCCCTCCTTTTTCCAACAAGTATATTATTGGTTCCGTCGTCTTTTGTTGTGACGACCTTTTGAAGGCTCTCCATCTTCGACAACCAGGCTATATGCCTGTAGATTCTGACGCGGGGCGTCACAAGTGCGTTCGCGTGGGTATTCCCCTAGACGTGCTGGTCACGCAAGGGAGATAACACCATTGCCCACAGCCAGATTTCATATTGACGCGAGGCTACAACTTTTGGTCCAATTGGCCCTCCCTCTCCAAGCCCTGGCCAAATGTGCCCTCGTGTGTCAATATTTTCGCACTGTGAGCCAGAATGGGACGCGTGGAAAGAAGCTGGTGTGACCGGTCGCTGTGGGCAGCCCCTTTTCTGTGAAAAGGTGGTCACCAAATAGTGGTGATGACTGTCTTAACAGTGGCCTGGCTGGCACACCTGGTGCTTCGCCATGACAGATGGCTCGGGTTTCATAAAAAGCCGAGCTTGAAGTGCTAGGGGCAGGTTCAGTGAGTGTATGGTTGATCGTGTACGATATTTATACACGAACGCTGCATGCCCCGATACGCAGTTTTTCGGCTCCCGCCACCGTCCCCTTACACCGCCGAAAGAAGCTGGTGTGACCGGTCGCTGTGGGCAGCCCCTTTTCTGTGAAAAGGTGGTCACCAAATAGTGGTGATGACTGTCTTAACAGTGGCCTGGCTGGCACACCTGGTGCTTCGCCATGACAGATGGCTCGGGTTTCATAAAAAGCCGAGCTTGAAGTGCTAGGGGCAGGTTCAGTGAGTGTATATATATATACCCTTTGGTAATTTGTTACATAGCTATTGATAACATTAACCCTCTGTTGATTGTACCGATTGAAAATGGTGGATCTTTCCATATCCAAAAGATAGCAAAGTCGTTTACCCTCTGGTTATGTCAACAGTTTGCGACATAGAAAATGACCCAGTCGAAATAGTGGATTTACCCATTGATAGCATGGTGGATCTTTCCATAGCTATCTTAGTTTACCAAAGGGTAACATGACCCCCGCAGGTCACGAGGCCGTGAGCGTCGCGGCCGTCCAACGGCCCGAAGGCGAAGCCTTACCTTGGCAAGCGGCACAGGCGGCCCAGTTGCTGGGGGACTTTAACAATCCAAAAAATGGTGAAGAATCATGCAATTTGATGGGAAGATGAGATGTAACCAACGATTTTCAGTTTTATTGGGATATTTTTTCGTTTTTTTTTTTAAACAAAAACTATTTGTGGGGATGATACACTGGGCTTATAGTTGGGATATAGCAAACACATACATAATCAAGGATGTTTTAACAATCAAGAACAGTGGTTTAACAACCAGAAAAGCGGACTGATTTAACCAGCAAACATTTGGTTTTACATGATTTATATAACCATCAAAAACTGTCAGACCTGAAACCATGGTTTAGGCGCAGCCTCAGCATATTTCGGATTTTGACGAGGCAACTCTGGAATTTCATTCTTGCAGCAAACCTCGGACTTTGGGTTTCACCAGAAGTTGGAACTCATTGACCCACAAGTGCGATGACTTCTGATGGATGTTGAGATAAGATCATTTCTCATCACAAGTTTCCCGCTGTAGGTTTCGTATGGTCTGGTTATTGCGAGCAACGGTTGGATTCATGAGCAATGCTGGGGACGTGTTTGATGCTTCTATGAAAAAGTGATTTTCGCTTGTGAAATGCTGCCTTTTCTGAGTCTCCCCGAATTCTTTGAAGGGACAAATTCCAGGACCTCCCCCTATCTAATATAGGAAACGCATTGGTTTCCTGTAGATTTTCCAAACAAAATCAAACATGATTCCAGTTTTCTCTGTCATTTTCCATTGTATCCCAGTAAAATTCCACTAAATCCCATGAAATTGACATAAAAATCACAAAATCACCATGAAATCCTCATCAAATCCCAGGAGATCAGCAATTTTCCACCAGACATTCCCAGCCTTTTCTCAGGCGCAGGGCATCTTGCGCGAAGCGCTTCGCCGCGACCTCGCCCGCTCCATTTCGGTGCCGCGGCCACGGCCGCGGTGAATGGTTGGTGTACTCGGAGTCCTCCAGTTGACATTGACACCACTGATCAATGGCCTAAAAAAACAGGGAATATCCCAGCAAAATATGGCTTAAGGGCCTTAAATAGTACTAAAGTACCTCTATAGCCTTAAATAGTACCAAATAGTACTAAATAAACCTCCATCTGTTGGATCCTGAAGATCTCCCATTGAACTGAGAGTGTTATGATGACTGGATCCAAACACGTCCGAAAAGAAGGTCCGAAATGGATGGGATTTGAGGTGCTTTTTTGAAATGACATTTGATCGGATTTTGGTATACAATGCTTAGTAAGTGGCTTATCCTCCAAGTACACTATCCAGTAATTGGGTGGTTACAGTCCCACGACTCGTGAATCGCTAGAAACAGCAGTGATTTTCCATCAGATTTTGTGGTGATTTACTCTGATTCCATCGGATTTTATGGTGATTCTATGGGAGTTTGGCACCAGATAAACAGTTGCAAGGTAAAGACGCAAGCAGGAAAGCGACTTCTACATTGATTGGACTGGTTTCAGGGAAATTTGCAGGGCACTGTTGTCTTGCACAGTACATGAAATACAGTCTGTGTTCTGGCGGGATTTTATCCATTTATGTATCGTATGTGTTTCAACTCCCCTTACTATTATTCGGATTGCATACCAATTATTTTGGCAAGGGTTCACCAAGTGAGGTGAACATCCCCAAGTCCATTTTCTCTTGGTTGAAACCCACATTTTATAGTAGTTTGTGGTTAATTTTCTACCCCTATCTGAGATGATGCGCCGTAATTGACCAATTGACTTCTACTTTTTGCGGGTGAAAAATATATCAGCATTATCAACCATCCACCCTCTCTTGTTTGTTTGTTGAACCCCCATTTCCGTCAGTTCCCATTTTTTTTGATGATGAGTTCATATGAGTTCCAATGAAATGCGCATTTCAATTTCCATTTAACCAGCATTTAACCATCATTTAACCACCATTTAAGCACCATTTAACTGCTGGTTTCCCCTCCCCGTTGAAGCTTCCCATCCTTCCCGCGCCTCAGTTGCACGATGGTTGTGGCCAGTGCCACGTCCGACTCAGCTGGGCGCGCAGGGCAGTGCCACGCTTGGTGTTGGCCTATGATGAAGGCTGTGAAAGCCATGGGAACACACCAAGGTCGACATCATGAAACTGACTAATTCATGATATGGGGTTTCCAAAGTCATGGGGATACCCAAAAATGGATGGTTTATAAGGGAAATTCCATCTATGAAATGAATGAAACTGATCAATGTGGGTAAAACAATGCCATAAATCATCCCCCAGTCATCACCATAGGTGGTATGTTTACCATTCCCACTTGGGTGGTTTATTATTGTTTCGACCACATTAATTCATTATATAGATATTAGATAGTGACACCATGAACAAGATTAGTATTTATAATCATACTACAGTTCTATACATATATATATACACATAGGAGCTACTGGTATATATATATAGGAGTTACAATATTACATATGAACATTGAAGAATGCCCTGGTTGATTGGTCATGAAATAAGGAGTTATAGCACCAAAATTGCTGGGGATATATTGTAACCCATTGGAGGGACACATATCCACTAGTATCATGAGATGGTATAGTGTAGTATAGTGGTATGCTACATGGGATGATGAAATCAGTTTTTTTTTTTCCGTCTACTTTTGTTTTTTGGGAATAAAACCAGAAATTCACTTGAAGAACATGGGGTAGATCCCATTTTCAGACAACCAACATGGGACAAGCGAGAGATTTTGGTCTTGGGCGATAGATACAATCAGAGGTCTATGGAGCTTTCAGCTTTCCTGTTTTGGACACTGGTCAATATTTGTGCCAGGAGCAAAAGTTGGATTATAGTTGGATTACATAGCTATATTGGAGGATGGTCATCAAGATGCATGCATCAGTCCATATTCATAGGGATTTACCCTCTGGTAAACTAACATAACTATGGAAAATCACCATTTTTAATGGGAAAATCAACTATTTCCATGGCCATTTTCCATAGCTATGTTAGTTTACTGGAGGGTAAATGCCTATCATGTTTGGATTCCCATTGTAAGGGATGGATGATGAGGGCCGAAGGGCCGAAAAAAAACTTGAAGCCTGGACAAATGGTGAATGAGACCCACGAATTTTGGATGGTGAATCAAGTCCAAACATCTTTAAACATGGCCAAAGTTCCAAAATAGAAGTCTACCTTGTGTTCCATAGATGATATGTTTTTTAATCATCATTGGGATCCAAGCACGTCCTTAGAAGGTCGAACATATAACATACGATCCTAAATGATACCCCAACAACTTCGTACGAAGGTACTTGGATCCATAGGGTAATCATTTGAAGTATCCATCGGATGTTTCAATGGATATTGTATCGATGTCAAAATTGAAACAACCCTAGAGGATGGCGCCCCCGAGTCATAAGTTGGTTTATAAAGCCCATGAATTCTATAGTTACATCTACCATACACCATAGAATTCAGCCACTGCTATATCTCAACTGAAAGCGAGCGCCTTCACGGGGGCCCCATCCGGGCTGGGATCTTCAAAATGGTCGTCCCTTTAAAAACGGCTGGGATCTCCCGTTGCAGGCATCCTGGTGTCTGGCTTTGGTGAATGGCAAAGGCGCTTCGCGGGGCGTGTTAAACGTTGGCGGCGTACCGCTGGCGGAAGCCGGGTGTTTCGAAGTCCGGAAGCCTGTGAAATGTAGAATATTGAGGGTATATCACCAACAATAAGTAACATGTATGCTGGTTGGTGGTTTGGAACATGAATGGATGATTTTTCCCATTATATTGGGAATGTCATCATTCCAACTGACCAACTCATATTTTTCAGAGGGGTAGGGCTCAACCACCAAGCAGTGTATGTTTTTTTTTCTCACAGAATCTGAGTAAATGTTTTTAGATGCCTCCACTCGTTTGACCTCCGCAAAAATGATGGCCCCTATGGAAGGGAATGGGCGAATCTTTCTGGTTTGGGAATCGGTTTGCAATTTGGGCAGAAATCACTAGACGATTGGTCACGTTGCGAATGAACATTGAATAAACTTTGATCAATAGCCAGTGGGCCATGGGTTTATTTCAAGATCACCAATATTTTGCCAAAAGGACATACCCATTCCCATCTCATAGAACTTGTTTGTCCCAAGACTCCCAATAGTCCCAAACCATATCCCAATCATTCACCCCAATACGATTCTTGGACTAGTTTACTGTATACAAGTTCAATAAAAGAATATGATAGCTGCTGTGATAGCATGACTTGACAGTTGAGATGGACGTTGCAGCTCTCAACATATTTTTATGACGTCATCATAATGGACACCCACTCCCGTGGTCCCCAAAAAAATCCAAGTTAAGATTCCGAAAAAAAACAATTCCAGGATGTTTTCCGAAGATTTCTCCACCTTTTCCAAAAAAAACACGGTGGAACCCACAGATTCCCCATTTTTCGTATGTGGATTTGGGCTTCGTTCATCCCCAATCAGTTCATTTTGGTGGACTTAGAGAGCATGGGATGAATTCTGACCTTTTTTGGTGACTGGAACATTATATTCCCATTGTTTTCTAAATATATTTCCATTATATTCCCAATATATCTGGTTGGTGGTTTTGGAACATTTGGATTATTTTTCGAAATATTGGGAATTTCATTTGATCCCAAATTGACCAACTCATATTTTTAAGAGTAGGGCTCAACCGCCAACCAGTTACCTTCTGGTAAAACATACAAAAACTGGTGGAAATCCATGGTTTTCCCTACTGAGCTACTTATCTGGTGGATATTTCATGACTATTTTCTGAGTTTTCAGCCCCAAACATGCGAGTTTCCAACAAATCAATATGGTCAATGTGAACATAATTCCCATGTCGTATGACATCATTCATATGTTCCATTGAATTTTGGAAGATATGAAACTCTAGAAAAGATAGACTTTCACTTCAGGATGTTTTTCAATGTCCATCTTAACTTGGGGGTTCCTACAAATATGGGGGTGGGTCAAAAGCTATTCCTATCAATTTTGATGAACATCCATAAATCCCAGCTATTTTTTTTGGGTTCGGTGCCAGAGTGAACTGACTATGGGACCCATATGGTGGTTTCCCAATGTTGGGGTAGCCCCATGACTTTGGACACCTCCATACGAAAAAAAACGACAATGGGAATTTCAGGATCCTAAAATGGAGGTACGTCAGTACCATTTTTCAGGCCATATAAGGTAGCTCCAATCAATCGGTTCCTGAAATGGCCATTGATAGGGTACAACACCAAGAACTATTGGGTTTATGGTAGATACCCTCTGGTAAACATACAAAAAACTATGGAAAATCACCATGCTATTAATGGGAAAACTCACTATAAATCACTATGTCGATCCATCCGATTTCCAACCAGGCAACTGACCTTTCTGCTGCTGCTGGGCCTACGCCTGGAGCGTTCGGTGCACCGCCTCTGTTGGGATTTGTGGCGGCGCCGCATAGTCCCTGCACTGCTACCGGGTGTGACTTGAGGCAGAAGGGATACTGGTGCTGGGGTAGGGGCTTATGAATGATTAATATGGGTTAATATGATTATGATATGGCTGAATATGGCTTAATATGGTTTAATATGGCTTACAACATGGGTTGATATATCATGCTTATTGATGACTATTAATGATTATCAATGGGTATAACTATGGCAATTAAAGGATATAACTATGGCAATAGCTATGAACGTTGGGGGTGCAGCACGGTGACAAACCTCCATAAGTTGGGGCCCATGGGCCCCATGGGGCCCCTGCAGCTGTGGTGAAATATCACCCACAAAATCAGATACACTCTGGTAAACATACAAAAAACGATGGAAAATCACCATGCTATTAATGGGTAAATCAACTATTTATGGCCATTTTCAATAGCTATGTCACAAATTACCAGAGGGTAGTGGAACAGCACCCCCATGTCATCCCACTTATCTCCCAACACGTTTTTTTTGGGTTACCCTCCAGTAAACTAACATGGCTATTGCAAATGTCCCGCTTATAGATGCTTTACCTCAAACAAAACCTAATTTTCATGGATTTTCCGCAGCTATGTTACAATCTTAGTTTATCAGAGGCTAATGTGGTAAAGCCAATACCATAGACCATCGCAACATTGGGATTATTGGCAATGCGGCAATACCTTTATATCTATATATATAATATATATATATATATCCATATATATATATATATATCTATATCTATATATATATACACATATTATTCTTGTTATTAGTACAGTATAGGTATACCTTTTTTGAAACGGGATGATGTCTGGTTGTTGGGGTCATTTTTCATCATCCCAACTCTGACGAACTCCATGATTTTTCAGAGGGCTAGGGCTTTCCCCACCAACCAGATGATTTTGACGTGAGAATAGTATATGACAACCATTAACAACCATTAACAACCATTAACAACCATTAACAACCATTAACAACCATAGTTATACCCATTATCAACCATTAATAAACCTAGATCATGATGATATGTAGTGTTTTTTAATAGTTATATGATGTTATATATTTTATTATATATACCATGAATGATATCCCATCAAAAAAATGATGATGATGTCATGTTTACTATGACCCCCAGTCATGGTCATCATAGATGTCCCTTAAATTCCCATTGGTTGGTTGATTTTGCTAGAGGGGTTTGAAGAAACCCCTTTAACAACAGGTTTGTTTGATGATAGATGGGATTAACCAGCTCCCGGTTTACCGCTATTTTTTTTAACCAAAAGCACATATTATTGGTTGTCAATAACCATTATTAAGAATTTTTAACCAGCATTAACCCTTATTAGCCATTATGAAACCATACTAACCATATTATCATAGAACTGGATGATGGGACATTTTACAGGAAACCCCAACCAATTTGATGGTAAAAACCATGGTTTCAGGAGACCCCTAACCATATTAAGCATACTAAGCATGTCATGGTTGTTGAATGGACTGGCAGCTTTAGGTTGACCACATCACCGTGACCAGGAACGTCCGGCTTCGTTTCGACGTCTCGACGAAGTCGAGAGCCGCTGATGTCTGGGATCCCAAGAGTCGGTTTCAACTTGTACCATCTGGCTATTTAACATAGCCATGGAAAGATAAAACCATGCTATTAATAGGTAAAGCATCTATTTCGATTAGGGCCATCTATACCATGGCTATGTAACAAATAAGCATAGGGTAACACGTGATACCCTTTTTTTTGAACAGCTATTATATGTTATTATTCACTGAATACGATCATATTCACTCTTGATATATTACACATCTAGCAACGTGATTTTATGACATGATTTGAGGGATTATATGCTGAGGATTGATCACTGATTTATCACTACTTGAAGGGTGCAGTTGAGGTCCCTGGTTCTAAAGCCCTATAAGTTGGATATAAGCCCTATAAACCCTAGTTCTATGTCCACTTGTTTTCAAGGAACTGCACTTCGAGGATTTTTTCTTCGGCCCCAGGATTTTCTGCAGGGACACAACGCGAAACAGCCTGATACGCCAAGGGATTCTCCATGACTTTTCAGGATGCTTCTCATGGGATGAAAAAAACTACAACAAAGAATTCAAAAAAGCTGGGATATGTACCAAAAATTATCAATGGTTGCATCACCTTACATTTATTTATATGATTTATATCTGCATATGTATAATATATATATATACAGTCTATATATACATATAATAGTAACCGCAGTAAGATTGAGGAACAGGTTCAATTTGCCAATTTGGGGATTGGAGTCAACTTTTCTGTATGGTTTTCTTTGATTGCTATTCATGAGTGCAGGATTTCAGGTTTCAGAAACATGATATTTGACCAAAAGAGTAGAGGATAGTCATTTTTATCTAGTCATAGTTGGTCCCATTGATAAGCCCTAGACAATCAATGACTCGCAAAGAACGGTATGCTTGCAATTGATGTTTGGGATATTCAAAATATTTCAAGAGTATTCCACAAGTGTCTGCCATGTTAGCATTATACAATGAATTCCCTCTGGTAAACTCACATAGACCCTGGTAGATAGGGGTTGGAAGATTGGTTAATTAGTTTCCAATAAACATTTGGGTTATTTTCAGGGTCGAACTGTCAATTTACCGCAGGGTATTTCAATTGTCATTGGTTGGTTGACATCGTTTCTGATTAAAACATCCTACCTGACATCGATGCCAGCATCCCAAATGACTTTCGGTCATTTTTATGGTTTGCTATGGAAGCCATGGCCTATTTAGTTCGATGAAACATCAATTCCCTGTCAAATATGGTGATTTCCCATAGTTATGTGAAGAAATCAACCATCACTTCTCGACAATATACCCATATCATAGTAAGAATATGCTGGAATCCCATAAGACATATACAACCGTATCATTCAATATCTGGTTGGTGGTTTCAAACATTTTTTTATTTTCCATTATATATATGGGATATTCCTTCTCATTGACTTTCCTATTTTTCAAGATGGTTAAAACCACCAACCAGATATAATTCATAGTTAACTCTCATGAAAATCCCCTCACAATCCCAACGGATAGCCGGGTAGGTCGGAAATTTGATCAGCCAGCGAGCAGAAGGCCCATCAGCTGTGGTGCCAGCCCTAAGGGTCGGTGGAAAAGTTGGATGTTTCAGATGTGCAAGGCATGATTTCACCTGATTTCACATGACTTCAGCTTACACATGATGGTGAAAACTAGAAGAATCGTCCCAGAAAATGTTGAAGCTTGCCAGTTTGAGACTTAGCCTCAGGGAAAACAAACATGGTTTGCTGGAAAATCACCCATTTACTTCGATGATTTACCTATTGCAATGCTGATCTTCCATAGCAAAACTGTGGATTTGCATCCGGCAAAAAACCGGTGAATCAACATTTTCGTTGGTAAACATGCTCAACATGTAAAATTTATCACAACTTGGGCCCATGCTCAATTTTTCGGACATATCCATGTGATTGTTGGTGATAAAACCCATTGTATCCCCATAAACTCCCGTTAAAATTCATCAAAATCCCATGAAGAACTGAAGCTTGGGGTGTTCACCAAGTGTCCCAAAGACAACTAAATCCAGTGACTGTATATAAATCCCATAAACTCGAAAAAAAAATCCCACTATCTAAAGTTGTGTTAAAATAAAGGGTTTTTTGGGTGAAGCCACATGGAATGGGATTAAAACCCGTGACGGATGGGGATTGCCAAAAACTCATCCAATTATGTATATATATATATATGTTATGCTAAATGTGTGGTATAAAATGTATAAACCATTTTTGGGGAGGGATATGATCCAATATACCACCCATAAATATCATAAATCCATAAAACACAGATGGTATAATCCAATCCCTGTTATGGTCAATTTTGATGGTTGACTGTATAGTTCCCATAAACATGGTAAATGTTGGGATGGTGGATGGTATTGCTTTACTAAAATTCTTAAACCACCATCAAGAGATAGGTAAATCATCATTTTTATGATCGAACCATGGCTGGGCCATGGTTTCAAGCTGGCAAAGTGTAACAGTCATAACTCAAAAAAGGAAGGTGCCCCCTAGTTATAAATTGGTTTATAACCATATCGATATATCCATCTAGTTATCCTAGTTATTACAGTTATAAACCAACTTAGCTAATTCTGGGGCCCTTTCCTGTAGAGTTTACATGAAAATTGCCAATGTTTCACCGTCTTCCGCAAGTTTCCATCCATTTTTTCCAGGCTACGGGATGCTATGTGAGAAGATCGCAGGAGAAGAGCTTGGGGCAGGTACTAGGCAGTGGGTTTAGCCATGTTTAACAATCAACCAAGAATACAACATGGGGCTTCCAAACGATAGCTAAGTTGGTTTTACAATCAATGGTTTATAATATTTATATAACTTATATCTGTAGTATTCATGGGGGTCATAATCCAACTTACAACTCGGAACCCCCACATCGTATGAAAATGGTCATGTATACTGTCTTTGAATGGGATAGACTAGGATTTGATGGCGAATTATATAACCGACACGACTGAATACGAACATAATGAGAATCCAACGGCATATCGGGGTAAACTATAGTAAACCAATGGGTGGGGGTTGATGGGAGAAGACATGCAGATTATTCTTCGGGGAAACCAATGGGTTTGGGCTACTCCAAATTTTGGAAACACCCATACAGGATGGGGCCCCCCAGTTGTAAGTTGGTTTATATACCATTATAACCGCCATTAACTATAGTTATATCTACCATAAACCATAGTTAAACCACTTATAAGGCAACTGAACGCTATCGAACGGGGGCCCCATCCTGTATGGATATGATGATGCTGAATACTGAAGAATGATTATCTATGCATTTATCCATGCCCTCCTTTTTGTGGGTATGACTCGAAATTATTGGCCCACAAATTGCAAGGGCCTAAGGGTTTGTACCGAACATTCTTTGGGCCGGTTGGTACCCATTTTTTGTTGGCCATGGCTACAACAAAAGATCCTG